ATTAATGTTTCTCCCAAGCTTGCAGATCTAACTAAATTAAACCATATCCCACTTTTAAAGAAAGTAGAAGGTGATCTGGCTAGATGGAAATGTCTACCCATATCACTCATGGGAAGGGTCGCCTCTATAAAAATGATGGTCTTACCAAAAATAAATTATTTTTTCTCAATGATCCCAACTAAACCGCCACAAGATTGGTTCAGATCTCTAGATTCATGTATGTCCAAATTCCTTTGGAAAAATAAGCCCCCCACGTATCAGCTTAAAAACACTACAAAAGACCAAGGATAAAGGAGGATTAGAACTACCTAACTTTCAGCACTACTTCTTAGCCAACAGGCTTCAGTTTATCTCAGGATGGCTAAAACATACCTTCTTAGATAAACCTTGGCTAGATGTAGAACAAGCACTTTGCAATAATCTAGAGATTTCAGATCTACCATTTATCAGCTCAAACATCCAACGACATGAATGCTTCAAAAGCATCAACATCAGCTCTTCTCTGACAGCATGGTGGGAGTTTCTAAAAATAACGGAGTCTTCATTAATCCCATGCAAACGTACACCTATCTGGAACAACCCTGACATATTACAAAACAATAATATGATAAACTTTTCAGATTGGAGTGGTAAAGGAATCAAATATTTAGGACATATATTAGAAGGAACAGAATTTATTTCATTTGACAGACTAGTTACACAATATGGGATCAACAAGAAAAGATTTTTAGAATATCAACAAATTAAATCCAAAGTAAAAAAGAAATTTAAACCGGGTCAAGTTGAACTACAAACACCACCAAGTGTGGTTCGATTTCTTACTCTTAAAACCCCCAAATTACTTTCCAAAATTTACAGAATGCTTTCTAAAACAGATCAATATCACTTCCTATTGCAAAATGGGAAGCGGATTTATCAGTTAACTTAGACCAAAACTTCTGGTCTCAGATTTGCTTAAAAACCTTTCATTTAATTATAAATCCCAGTGTTGGGTCTGCGCTTCCACAGGCCCCGCTGGTTTAGAGACTTTTTCCCATTAACGACAAGCAAAGAAACAAGACGAACATCTTTAACTGGTTTTTACTTGCTAGCAAGGGAAGCCCGCTCGGTGTCTCAGGAAAGCACTCTGAGTCCAACCACAGACGACCTCGACTCAGGCCTCCGCTTGCCGCCTTTCATTGAAAACAGTTACAGTTGTGCTGTTAATAAACTGGGCAAACAGGACAAACGTCTAAAGAAGAAGTGGAGGGCTTTAAAAATATCTGCAGCATTTAAAAACTGTGTCCATAAGAAATAGAAAAAAAAGGGAAGAAGTGAAGAGTTAAAACATCTTAAAGAAGTCCAGTCACTTCCTCTCCAAGCTCCTTAGACTGTAATGTATGTGTCAAGAGTGTCTATGGCTGTTTGTACAGCACAGTGCTTTTCAGTCAGCAGTATTGGGTGTTTTGTCAAAATATGAGGAATTGCAGATGCAGAGAAGTCAGATTTTGACCGACTACACAATACTGTCTATAAACCATTGGTTGGCAACAGCTTCTTCTTTCAACGTGACAATGATCGGAATCAAAGCTGTAGAGGAAACCACACAGTGGAACTAACCAAGGACAGAGTCCAGAGCTCAAAAGTATGTAAGCAGTGTAGGATATGCAACAAAATGCATCCAGCATCTAAAGAAGAGCTTAGACGTTTCCTTTCAGAAGAAGGAGAACTGTTCTCAAAGAAATTACAAAAAGTTTTGCCCAAAAGATTTCAGGCTGTATTGAAGAATAAAGGGAGTCAAATATGACTTTAAATATATCAAATAATGTCAAGTTCATAAGAACTGTAAAAAGTCAATTTTTGCCTTTTAAACTGTGCTTCCATATATGGTTGGGCATGTTGTAATAAACTGTTGCACCCATTTTTCATTTTCCTAGCAAAGTATGAGGAAATTAAATTATACTTGAGACTTTTGCATAGTATTGGAAAGACCCTGTGAGGAAATCCTTTTTTCTCTGTCAGTTGTGTAAGCTTTAGACATAACATTTGCTTTCTCAGTGGAAAGTCACGGAAAGGAACCAGAACGAAAGAGGAATTTAAAAGAGGAAAAAGAGGAAGGGTTTTATTTAAGAGCAGGTAAAAGTCCTCACACCGCTCAGACCTGAGTTTGTCACAGTTGAAGCTGAAGCTATGTCTCCACAAAGGTAAATGTTCATCTCTACATCTATTTTTCTATTTTATTGTACAGCTTTGAAACTGAATACGATGATTTTCAGATCAGTCAAATTCTCTGTTTGATGCTGGAATCATATCAAAATATTTTATTATGTCCGTCTACTTTACTGTGAACTTTTAATGGTGTGCATTCAGCTAAGATATTCCTGCACAGTAAACGGTCGTGTCTTTGAATGACTTCTCTTATTCATGTTGGTGTTTTCAGCACATCTGTGGCTGTTTTGATTGGGACCATCATCGTGTCCCTAACGAGACCGGACTGCACAGCTATCAGGGAAAACAACGAAGGATTCAAACTCTGCGTCACGTCAATGCGAGGCGTCAAAGACCTCTCACATCTAAACATCACCAGTGTTCCAAGTCTTTCCAACGAAACCCAGTATTTGGACATCTCCTACAACGTCATCCAAACGCTGGAAGGAACTGAGTTTTCTGGACTGTCCCAGCTTTGTTTTTTGAACGCAGCTCACTGTGGACTTCGGGAGATTTCAGCCACAGTGTTCACCCACACACCAGCACTCAAAATTCTCAACATATCTAACAACGACTTAGCTTTCATCCCTGACATTTCCTTGAAACAGCTGAAAATTCTCGATCTGGCCAACAACCGGTATACCAGCTATGAATTACCGGCATCCTTTCAGAACTTCACAAAGCTGGACTTCCTGTCTCTGGGTAGCGCGGCTGCTCTGTCAGTGAGCTACGGTGACTTTGATGCCCTGATGAATGTTTCTGTTCAGCATCTGTTTTTGGGAGCAGGAACTCACTGGCAAAAGTATGAACCTGGTTCTCTTGCAAAAGTCAAGTCTCTCAAAAAGCTGTCCCTCTTTGCATCTTTTTGTGGGACCTTTGGGATGTTTGAGAACCTCCTTGTGGACTTGAATGTGACACAAGCAAAAATGTTGCGAGTCATCTCGCTATTTCCAGACAGCTGCAATGTGAGCGACGACCCCTTTAAGAACCTGAGAACAATGCCTTTTATTCAGAATCTCACCTTAGAAAACACCTGGATAAACAGCACGTTTATGGTGGTGTTTATGAAGAACGTGTGGGTTTCCCCTCTCCACCAGCTCTCATTTGTCAACATCACTTACAACGAGGACACACCAGATGGCTTTAATTTACCGCCCATTAATCACACAATCAATCTTTCCTCGGTTATCTTTAATGGTGTGAATCATTATCAATACAGGTATCCCACGATAAACATGAGCTTTGAGGCCGCCTCCAGACTGACCTATTTAAAGTTCTCTGGGACTGGAATGAATATTTTGCCCTGCAGAGTCATGACTGCCCTGCCATCACTGCAGATTCTTGACCTGTCAGATAACCTGCTGTCAGAGTCGGGCTTCTGGTGGACTCCGTGTTCACGCAGCTCTGTTTTTCCCAAACTGCGGAAGCTGTCTTTAAGCAGGAACCGCTTCAGCAGTCTTTCCTTTATCTCTCAGAAGACACATCAGATGAACTCACTGGAGTCTCTGGATCTCAGCTTCAACTCCATCCACTTGGACGGGGACTGCTATTGGCCTGCTCAGCTGACTGAGCTTCGCCTTGGAAACAACAACCTGGGCAACAGTGTCTTTGCATATCTGTCATCAGACTTTGAGAAGATCGACTTGTCAAAGACAGGAATAACGTCCATAACGCAAAAGGATCTGACTCGCTTTTCCAAGCTGACACATCTTACTCTTAGCTCCAACAGCATCCAGGTTATCCCGGTAGATCTCAGTGTCCCCGCTCTGCTGAGTCTTCACATAGACCAGAATGCTATCACATCTATATCGAGAGAGGTCTTGGCAGGGCTTCCCAGGCTTCAGAAACTCAAAGTTGGAGGCAATCCGTTTGTCTGCTCGTGTGACTCCTATTGGTTCATCACTGCTTTCAACAAGTCCTTGTTAATGGACTGGCCCTTAGATTATACATGTAGCACACCACTGTCATTTGCAGGTCTGCCTTTGTCGGAGTACAAACCCAGTGAGCTGTCGTGTGAGATGTGGCTTCAAGCTGCAGTTGCGCTGCCCGTGCTGATAGTTATATCTGCAGCTGTAGGTCTGGTTTTTCATAAATGTGATGGAGCGTGGTATACAAAGATGTTATGGGTCTGGATCCGGATGAAAAGGAGAGGCAAGAAACGTTCCAATATTTTGAACAACGCATCATTTAGTTATCATGCGTTCATTTCCTACAGTAATCAAGATTCTGACTGGGTGGACGCCCACCTGGTTCCCACTTTGGAAGGTGCTGGATTTTCCCTATGTGTCCACGAGAGAGACTTTGTCCCTGGAGAGTGGATCATAGACAACATCATCAACTGTGTTGAGTCCAGCTACAAGACGCTGTTTGTCCTCTCCAAACACTTCGTGCAAAGCGAATGGTGCAACTACGAGCTCTTCTTCGCTCAGCACCGAGCCATCAGCGTCCATCGGGACTCGCTGGTCTTCATATTATTGGAGCCCATTCCGACAGACTCTCTTCCTAAGAAGTATTTGAGACTCAGGAGTTTGCTGAGGCAGCAGACATACCTCGAGTGGCCGAAAGATGACAGGAAGCAGCAGACTTTCTGGGCAAGCCTGAAATCCACGCTGCATATTGCAGACAAATCTGTTGTTCTGAAGGACATTGCACTGGCCATTTCAGATACAGTACCTCTGGTTGCAGACCAAATGTAAGTCACAATTTTATTCAAGCATGACATGTGCACATACTGATGTGCACAATGAAACAGGTTTGGGTTGATGATAACAAATGGTTTTTGTCAATGAAAAAATGAAAACAAACCATTATAAACATAATCAATAACTGGTCAATATTACATCTGAAATATTTCAGTATTTCGATGATCATGTATTTTGCATGCAGAGAAATGTGGTGTCTGTTCTGATGTGTCTTTGTGTCTCCATCTACTGTTTTTAATGACACTTTGCAACACACAGCAAGGAATGATGATGCTGTACAGCACAGGTGACGTATTTGTCCATGTAGCACCAAATCACAGTCATCTCAAGATGGTTTGTATCCTAAAGTAGAGACACTACAATAATACAAAAATATCTGGGTTAGGAGAGGAAGACAAAGACGCAGTGTGAAAGAGAGGCAGAGATTAATAATCACTAATGATTAAATGCAGAGAGGCGTATAAATACACAGTGAGTGAAAAAGAAA